GAAAACAACTTCAATATTATTTATTACAAATTTTCAAAAAATAAAAAAATTAGTTCAAATATTGAAAAGAATAAATAAATTTATTTTTAAATTGATTTATACCAAAATAATAATGCAAAAATACATAGATTAAAAATCTGAATTCATATTATGAACAGAGAAATATATCAATGCTGTATATCTAATTTCTGCTGAATATTAAGATGATTTATAAAAGTAATTACTGGCGTCATTATTCTTATAACGCACCACAAAAACACACTGCAAACACTATGTAATTACATAAAAAATATAACAAAACAGCTAGTTAGTAAATGACGTATGACAGTTTACATTTGCAGAAGTTAAAAGTGCAACATTCAGCAAATTGTATGTCCGTTAACCGAGTCCGACGTGTGCTATAACAAACTGTCAAGTCGCATTCATGTGCTTCCGTTGCCCTGCACACTGTTTTTATTCCAGTCGGTGTACTTGTGTGGCACAGTTAACGATTTCCCGCGCTCATAAGCACCAGGGAGAGATTTTAATCGTGTTTCGAAATTATATTTCATATTGCACTGGTGCCCAGTGGAAATTCCGTGTGTCGGTTCCAGGAAAACGAGAGAAATAATGAGTGTTTCTATCAAATGTTACCTCTGTTTAAACTGTTCGATCAGGAGGATGTTGGCATTTTTAGGTTATCATAACCCATGAGCTCATAGAAAATTTAATCGTAGTTACTTTTGTATATATTTGATCTACAGATCAAAAGTCTCACAAATTTATTAATTAGTGTAACAGTGGTATTTAGTCAGAAATATTCATCAGCAAAGTTATTTTAACTATTAACCTAATTTATTCCTCGTAAAATGGTAAACATTGAGTTGGTCCCTTTTTTACTCCACCCATATGCAAGCTATTAAAGAGCTAATGTGAAAACATCTATTGCAATCGAACTTGAAATTAACAACACCTTCAAGAGTATCTCATTGAAGCGAGCTTTTAATCTAATATATCAATAGAAATGATTACCATGCTATTTCTATTCCTATAAAATAAAGCATTCCGCATAAAATTATCCGCAATCTATAAAACAATACTAAATATCATAATAAAAGATCACGTTTCACCAAGCCAATTCCGAATTCATCGCTGGCTATTGATGACGAATCAATTTTTATTCTCGTCAATTCATCAAATGGCAAACGAAATTACGCAGCCGCAACCCTAACGCAACCGCCATATATCGGGATATACACACATATAAGGGCAAATCAGCTTACACGGATCGTACAAGCAAACGATTTAGTTTTTTATGCCTCATTAAAAAGACCCTTTTTCTCATTAAGTACCAGCGTCCTTTTATTTGGACAAAGCCCCGACAAAGACTCCGATTGAGCGGGTCGCTGTCCTCTACACATCCGACTATCAAACAGGCGGGATGACACAGATTTGCTTATATAAAACAGAAGTTTAGTAATAAAAAATTATTACTTTCAAAGCAACAGCATATATAAAATAATATAATAGAGCAAAATTAATATAATTATTGTCAATATTTTAATTATTATAAATTTATCACATTCTCAGCTTTCTAAGCAAAATCTCGTCTCTTCAATTTAAAAATTGTGGGTGTTTTTTTTTCAGAACTAGCAACAACCCAAATACAAAAATACAAACAAAATGCAAAATAATAATTTTATATTATAAAGCATGTTGCATTATTTTAATCTAATATTTTATCATCATGTTTTGGAATTATTATTAATTTAACAAATATTATACATGTTGCTTTAGTGTTTAAATTCCACGCAATCGCAAATGTTTTTCAGTTACAGAATTTCACCAGACTAATATATTACTGAAATCAAAGTTTGAGTATAATTGCTATGTACAATGAATGCTGAATAGATCGGATCAGCAGAATAAATTGTGGTGTTCTTTGGAGTCATTCCAGACGGAATTATCAGCATGACAACCACTTGCGATAACGTATGCGTGCTATGCTTTAGTACAAGCCATGTTTTATTGCATCGTTTATTTCTAATGCTCAATATATGGAAATACAGACATTGTTAAAGATTCAAATAGGATTTGTTATCTTAGATTGTGTTATATAATAAAGTTTTCAATTGACAAAACTAGCTTTGCTGCATTTGGAAAATATATTAAAACTATTTATAATGACTTTTTTAATGTATGGAGTTATAATTAGGTGTTAAATCAAAAATAAAAATGTAACTATATTACAATATGAATACATGTATCAAAACAACAAATTTGTATCAAGATGTTCTAATCAAAGCCAAATGTACAAGATCGCTCCACCGGATTTTTAAGATGCGTAATTGAAGTTCTCAGATGAACACCTTTAGAAGCAATATTTTATTTGAAAGATGAAAGCCTTAACTTGTAGCAAAAGACTTAGTTGATGAATATGAAAATATTATATTTTTCTTCATATTTGTTTACGTGCTAATTATATTTTATTAAAAATAACCCTACGTCATAAATTATCAAGTTTCAAAAAGTAATCAAAATTTAATTCTCGCATCCAGAAATTCTGTCTAATGTGAAGTAATGAAATGATTTAAGGATGCGAGTCTTGACGTCGTAATGGATGAGTAACGAGTCCGAAAGTTATATTAACTCAAAACCCTCTGTAATTATCTCATCTCATGAAAATGTTGTGAAATTAACTAGCATTTATATGCGCTAACAGCTTAAGAGTTGATATTAGTTTTCTGGGAGATATGTGGAAATGCAGTTCTTGACGATGGCATTTGATGATAAATTATAATATTCTTAATGCAGATTTTGCAAATGTGAAAACTTTATGTAGTTATTTAGTAATAGAAGCAACTGTGCTACAAATCTGATAAAGCAACTTTTAGCGAGTAATTCAATATTATTTTAAAATGATAAACCAAGCTATCTGATTAAATTGTAAAATTGAATCATTTTTAAAAAGTACGCCGGTATTCAATAATAGACTTGAATGAGCATAATAAAAACTTTTGTACTTATTCATGAGCTCCTTATGGCGGAAAACAACTGCAAGAACAATTTAAGAAACCATTCCTTTCAAAACTTATAATATCACCTTACTCGTTATTAGGGAGGAATTTAGTTTTTGCAAGAAAATAATAAAGGGTAGTTTTTCACGGTTACACGTAGTGTTTTTTGCTAACTTTTTTGCTGCACCGGGTTGGAGTTTTATTTCGCACCGGCACAGCTGTGCCTGAAACATAATATAATTTAATTCCCAGTTAGTACCTTGCACGCGAAAATTGTACCTATTCAAGTTACGACAAAAGCTTTTAATGCTATTTTTATTACTTTTTTTACCTATTAATAATTCTCGGCGAGCATAACAGTGCGGCTACGCTTTTTTTAAAGGAATTGTTTTGTAGACGTGTATATAACAGAAGATAATAGATAATTTGTGGTGTACGTTTCTGATAGACGCACAGGCAAACTAACATGCATAAACTGTAATTAGGCACAAACAGAATATGAATATATAATATAATATAACTAAAATAATAGTCAATATTATTCAATAAACTAATTTGACAATATGGACTTTTCTTGACGATAAAATTAAAAATAATCTGTAGGTTCATCTCAAAACAAGAAGCATTGCAAGGATCTACTGCACAAAAACTTTAAGAATCTATGCAAATTACAAGTGTTCTATAAAAATGCTTTATGTGTACATTTTGCTATTAGAGCATTACTTTATAAATATACCAGGAATATAAATATGGAATTTATTACACTAAATCAATCACCTTGCACAGCAGCGTTCGCGTTCTGCCCATCAAAGTTTTCATATCTCAACTGAGAAACCGTTCGCAAACGAGACTTCCCACGGTTATTTTTATGAACATGCGTTCATTTTCATATCGAATAAAACAAAGAATGATATAGTGAGATACGCTCGAGGAACGCAAACCGTTCATTAATTTTGTTTTAACATATTCAGCTCATTAATTTGAGCGTCGCCTTCTTCGCGAGCGAGCGGGCGTCTTATTAATTTTACGCGGGAAGCAGGCAGCCCGCGTATGTTTACCGGCATAAAGTTACCCGCTGGCGTTTCGAGTTTCAGGAACGATGCCGAACTTTGCTGATGCAGTTTAAACTATTTTAAAACGCGATGTTATAATAAGCGTCCGGGATTATTACGTCGAAATTATTTAATTGGCCGATTACTGAAACTAATGATTTTGCCGCGATCTTAGACACTGGATAATCCATAAGAAAATTAATTTCGAGTACTGCTAATTATTGAACTTTTAAGAGCACGGGTAATTAGCGGAGATTTAAACATCTTACACAGACAGTCATGTGCATACTCATACAAACCTACGCATATATATATATATATATATATATATATATACACTCGTATATACATAATTAACAACCAATTTGTCGAATTAAAATTGTTATATTTTCAGCTTTTTATTTATACGCTTCGACATTTAAAATATCAAACTTAAGCATATGCTTTTGTAATTGACAAATTTGACACAAAAAACAAAAACTTGACTAATCATTTTAAGATGAAAAACTAACAAAAATAACATTCAAAATATATCAAAATAATGCTCTATCCATGATTATCCTAGAAAAACTCGGAGTATAACACAAAAAGAAATTTTTCACATTTAATTCGACCAATTGGCTGCTAATTACTAGACGTTGAATCTGCCGCAGGTATATCAAATAAAAATAAATTTGTTTATAATATTTACGTTTACATCAAAGTATAGATGTTATATTTGATAAAACAGACGCAAATAGTACTGATAAACTTTTCAAAATTTCTTTGGTGACTGGAATTTTTTTTTAAAAAAACTTAAATATTTATTTGATGTAACTTTCTTGCGTATTATTTCATCTACACTCATATGTACAATATATATATATATATATATATATATATATATATATATATATATAATATGTTAATGCTTAATTATTTTGGAATCACATACTCATAATATTAAAAATACCTGGCCATTAAATCGAAAACTTAGAAGCCCTCAGAATTGTTTACCTGTAACAAAAAAAAAAAATTGTAATAAAATCACTAATAAGAAATATAAACATAAACGATTGATAATTTTGACTTAGAAAGTTAGAAAACATTTAAATTATTAGATGAATAAAATAATTATACTTATAGCTTAAAACACAGCATTCAAAGTATTTTAAAGCAATGTTTTAAAAAAGTTTTAAATATGTACTACTTTAGAAACGTATTATACTCGTATATGTTACTATTTTAGGAAAGTTTATAATATTTCACTGTTTGGATTTATAAATATTAAATATGAAATAATGTACTGCCTTTTTATACATATGCATGCATATTGCTAATGAAATGAACATTCAACACCTTTATTTGCCAAAGGTACTTGCAAATAAAATTTGCGATAAAATTTTGCACCTTGAAGTAATAAATGATTCCGTAATTGGCAATAAAAAATAAATTACTGTTCATCATAAATTGTGAGTAGAAATAAATAAATATATGCATAGAAAACCAGCATGTATAATAACTTCATCAGCCTTAACGGCAACCGCCACGAATGCAAAAAGTCGGATAGATTATATGGCCGGCACTTCGTTATCATAACACAACGCACTTTTAAAGTAATTCTTCAGAAATTTAATGGCCACTTACATTTTAATTAGCAATTAAGTAGCAGTTCATTACCGTTGGGAATAATGAACGTATGCGATTATGCTAATATCTAAATGGGTTATTTTATACTTTCGCTGCTGATACGGATAGGAAATATGGATATAAAGAAAATTGGGCCGAAAAAATACGAATAGAAACGACTCTTCTGGAAATTTGATAAAACTTTGCCAAAACATGTTGACAAATAATTCATTTCCTATGATTATTATAAACCATGTTATAATTAGTAAATACTTGCACCTAGATGATAATAAAATCATAGCCAAACAATAGTTCTTTTATTAATAATTTATATTTCTCGACCTTGTTGGTGTGTATAATAGCTATATTCAACTCCCGGTTCAAATTTCACGCACTATTAAATCAATGGCGTAATATAATCCAAATATTTAACGAAGATTTATTTCTACGATCCTAATGATTTAACAGTAAATAAAACGTAATACAATTTATTACACTCCTGAATTTTATAATTCCTGAATGTTTTATACGTATTTCTTCTGTGTATACACCAGATTATACTCAGAAACATTCCCTCCTGCAAGTGACGTACAGCTTTGATTACCTTAGGAGGAAGTACAATTTATGAATACAATCAAATTAAGTCCTAAGATGAATATCAATTTGCTGCACGTAACTGAAAATCCAGCTTTAATTTTCTTTGATATTATACCCGGAAGTGGGTGAACAATCTACGAAGATAAAGCGATAAAATTGCAAGTTCGAGTTGGTCAGTTTTAATTTGATGTTATCAATCAAGTTGCCGAATGCAAACGAGATGCAAATTGGAATTGTTTGGAAGTTCTATTAAGTTGTTAACGCTTTAAAAGTATGAGATTAATAATGGATTGGATTTGAAATTATTTATTCTGGGCGCAGAAGTGACCTTTTCGTGGCAGTATTTACATTTTACCTTCTTAAAATAGACAATTTTATAAATTTTGCATATTTTGAATTTATACATATATCAAGCAAATTAGTTGCTACTGTTTTCGCAGAGCTTACACAAAGATCAAAATTTAACAAAAATCGATTTAATTTCATTCTTTGCAATGGTTGATAAAATATAGTTTTGAGTGACCCTAGACTTCGTATATTATTTTATTAACCCTAAGGTTTAAATTCATTGTCAGTTATAATGATTAATAAAATCAGCAAGTATCAATATAAATTAAAGTTCAATCATTATCCTTGCTGACAAATTTTACAAACTTCAATTGATATTTATTAGCACCAACTCAATCAAATCGATAGTTGTCATAAATAGTAAAATGCGTTAGAAAATTTTCTGTTTTTTTTCAAGTTTTTATACTTTGCTGTTTTTTTTTAAGTAAAAACAAACAATTTTTATACAATTTTTCAATTTTAATTAAATTCGAAAATTTTTGAAGGTGCTTGTTAAGATATTCTAGAGCATTTTTAAGAAGGACTTTTCAAAGTTGACAAAGTTGAAAATTAAAAAAAATAGTAGAACAAATAGTTTTAATCCTACAAACTTCGGACCAATTTTGTCATTATTTCTATTGTATTTCTAGAAATGTTTTTCAAGCTTACGGTTCTAAAGTAAACAAAATTAATGAAAAATAACTAAAATAATCGAAAAATTGTTACAAAGCTCTAGGTATCACTAAAAAGCTCAATTTTCAAACTGCATTAGTCATTTTTAGTCTAATGTTTTTCTGCTTTCAGTTACAATAAAACAAGTCCCCACGGATTGGCGATGAGTTCTGGAACACCCGGTATATTATATTTACAAAATCTCTGTTCTAATTACATTGGTGGTAACAATAATATATTGATGAGAAATTCAAAAGTAAAGATTTAAGATTTAGATATCAGTCTTTGTAGCAATATTTTTACATAGTAATGCTTTCAAATAAATAAGTAAATAGAGCTTAATTTTAGTATATGGGTTGAAATATTACGTTTATGTATAAGTGACGTTATAATTAAGGGATACATTGATTTTTGATCAATTTGATTATTATTCATTATTAAAATATTATGTACATAATTTTTTAGCTGTAACTACGATATGAATTATAATGAAAATGTATGTAAATCTAGCATAATATATGTCTGGTCTCATGAATAGTAAGTCCTTGTATAATAAGAATGGTCAATAATGCAAAAAACCTTAAATTTTGTTCCTGTACTTTTTAATTAAACTATGTAATGAAAATACACGTGCCGAAACAAAAATTTATTTGTTTTCCAGAAATTCACAAACATAAAATAAAGCACGTTTGCAATTTTACGAAACTGATATATTTCTGAACATTACCGCATTGCAGTAGGTAATCGAATCCAGTGGTAGAATAGTAGCACATGTGCGGCATATGTCAAATTTCGGTATTGAGTTCGGCACGCACGTGGGTGTGTGATATATGCAACCAGAAATATTCGCGAAATTCCATAGCCATACCAGTAGGTGAACGGTCAACTTTAATATATCTTAGATGTAACCCAATACATAGTTGCTTTATGGGTTAACTTGTGAACTATCATACCTATATAGGTTAAGTTTACAGGTGTGGGTTAACCCGTTGTATTTACCAAGCAATGCGGTAAGTTAACCTATCTTAATGAAGCTCTTGATACAAAGCCAAACGGAGTGGTTGAGGCCGCTGTTGAGCGTCTCTCAAGGCTGGAATTATGGATTTGAGTGTTGCATCCGGACACGGTGTAATTGAAATATGGGACGCAAATACAGAAACTACTTTCTTTGTTGAATTGAATTTAATCACCGCAGTCTAAATATTATAGTCTAAAAGTTATGAATCATGATCACAAAATATGAAAAAACCCTTCACGTTACACGTTACTTTCTATTATAAATTTTTTGTTCAAAATCCATTATTAACATCTGTAAGACAATTTCCTACTTGTAAAATCTCATTGCGGTAAAACTTGCTCCAATTTTGCACTTCATTTCTTATTCCAGCGAAAGCAATAAACCAACTATCAACATCATTGGTATTCAAAGCGGTCAGCCTTGCATACTGAGTCAAGTCACCGCCGCACCATCAATTTTGCATCGCCGATCCAAGTATGTGGTGACAGGCTATGGTGTCTAAGCTATATTTTACGAAATCATAAGAAAAAACTTGAATTTGTTGGAATGTAATATGCACAGTTAATTTTTATAATTGAACTTCAACAAATTCTTTACGCGTTCCTGCTTTTTATCTGATTACATCTAATTTAATTAATTAGTTGTTACATATGATTTTTGGTTATTGTAAAGTTTATAATTTATAAAATATTTTGTTCGAAGTATGAGCAACTGTTAATTAAGAAAAAGGATATACTGAGGTTAACAATTCCGCTTGTATAACTTTTTCATTGTAGAGAGCAATTAAGCTAATTAACAGCGTGGATTTAATCTTATATGAGGTAAGCTCATCATGGAGAAACATTAAACTTTGGAATAACAGGGTTGAAACTAGATAAGATCTAGCAATCATTATATGAAATTTAATAACTAAAATAGATTTGCGTAAGGGGTTACATATTTATACTATGAAAATTTGCTTTATGTGATGCTTTCTCTTTGAGATTTTTAGAACTTTGAGGAAAAATTGATTCTTGAGATTTTTAAAATTGAGCTTTTTGAAAAAAAAATTTTACTTTGAAAGATTTTGAAAATTTTAACCTTTTTTTAAGCAATCGGAATACGTTAGATGCGTAGAAACAAAATATGGAAGCGTGTACGCGCCGAGTCGCAGTATAACGGATAAACATTGGTACGGAGCCCATGAAAATATAAAAAAAAATGTTCCTATCATTAGAATATCTATAAAATATGTGATAATTTGATGTGCATATATCTAATGATTATTTTTGTGCTCTGAATAGCATTTTTTACACTTTTTTCTTTGGACCTCCAAAATCGCGAGACCTGCCCTCTAAAAATTTCACTAATTCTTTATTTCATCAATACAATGTCGAATCATTCAAATAGGATGCTTCGTTCTCTCAAAAATTTAATTACTATTTTCGGCATTTTTTGCCTGTATCTTCGGAACGTCTAAACCTGCCTTAGCCAAAAACTAATTAGCACATCTCCTCATCAATAGGAATCAAATGTTTTTTAAATCATTCAAATTCGTTGATGCGTATTCTCTAAATTGTCGACAAAGGATTGTATCCGCACATACACATCCATTCTTTCGGAAAAAAACATCCAAAATGTTTAGAAACCTTTGAAATGTAGAGATATAATTTTTTTTAACTGTTTTATTCAGCAATCAGAAATACATAAGAATTACTATAAGCTAAATTGACAATATTTGAGAGCGATTTCTAAGAAGAACTCCAGTGAGATCTTCTTAGTTTAACAATTGAAAAG